TTCTCTGACCCAGTATAAGGCAGCTTCATGTGTTCATGTGTAAAGTAGGGTTGCCAACCTCCAGATGGTGGCTGGAGATCTTCTGCTATTACAACTGCTCTCCAGGTGACAGAGATCAGTTCACCTGGAGAAAACAGCCGCTTTGGAAGGTGGACTCTATGGCATTATACCCAGGGGTCATTTCCTGCAGGAGCACACAGGAGCAGAGCTCCGGCAGTAAAGAGCCCAGGGGGCGGGCACATGCAACAAGCCCCACCCCCTGCTCCCAACCCCCGGCCCCCCATTCCAAAACAGTCCATTGGCACCTTTAAGACCAAGTTTTATTCAGGTACAAGCTCTCCCTCCTCTGTGAGGGCAGATCTGTACGTTCCCCCCCCCCCCAAATAGCTAGCAATCTAAAACAGTCCAGTGGAGCTTGAGCAGTGGGTGTTGCCTTCTGACACACTTCCGATGATGTCAGGGGGTGTGCATATGCAAATAAGTTATGCTAATGAGTTATGCTAATGAGCCCCTGCACCTCTTTTTCTACAAAATGACCCCTGATTATACCCCACTTAAGTCCCTCCTCCTGTCCCCAAACCCTACCCTCCTCAGGCTCCACCTCCAAAACCTCCAGCTATTTCCTGCCCCAAAGGTGGCAACCCTAGTGTAAAGCCAGTGGTGGCTGACTTAGTGGGAAAGCTAGAAGGCCAGGAGAAAAGTCCTAGTTCTTTTGTAGGTTCATTAGAGGGCCTTTGGCCAAACCAAGGCTGTATATTCTTTGAGCTAGCTAATTAGCTAACTCATATGCCATGCTAAGAAAAAACCCGAATTCTGCAATCTGTGTTAAGTCGTACAGATTTGTCAGTCTTTGCATATATTTGCATGCTATAGTTTCCTTCTGCTGGTAATAGTATGGAGGAAGTGGAGAGAGGAAACTTTCCCACCCTCTCCGCAACTTGGGGGCAGCCAGAGAGATTGATGGGCGGTTGATTCAGGAAAGACAAAAGGAAGTAGTTCTTCACCTGTCATATAATTAACTTGTGGAACTCACTGCTACAGGATGTAGTATTGGGCAGAAGCTCAGGGCCAATTCACACATTATAAATATCACATCCCCAGGTGTCCTGTCAGCAGATATGCTCCAGCAGTTCTGTGCTCGGGAATTCATTCCCAGGTTCATGGAGGCCCACCTGAAACTGGGATTGCAGTATGCAGGGAAAGGGAATTTAAGCCTTCCTCTCTATGATGTTTGCACCCTGAAATGGCCCCAGAGAATTTCTATTGATCATTCAGGGGAAACTTGTGTGTGTGACTCTCAGTATAGCTACGTTTCCTCAGTGGGGCTCCTCTAGCAGAAAATAGTCCAGGAGACACTCAAGCCTGTTCTCCCCAAGCACCATGGTTCTGAACCAAACTGGGCAGCATACACCTGGAGCTGGATCCAACCAGCTTTTTCACTCTGTCTTGCCCAAGTCCCCTCCTTACTACACCTCACATGGCTTTTGTCCATGCTGGTCTTCTGATCCCTGGTATGGCCTTTTTGGGTTGTCCAAGGACAACCCGTCTCCCTTTTTCAGCAGCAGAAAAGCTGGTTTTATCCAACCCATGGAAATTAAGTTCTGGGCACAGACCTCACCAGAGTGCATCTGGTTGATAGAACTGCCCCGGGGGAACAGAAGAACTTTGTAACATGTGACTTTGCTCTTCAATGGCTTTAAATGGAGCTTAGACAGATTAATGGAAGATAGGACTTTTTGTTGTTGTTCAGTCGCACAGTCGAGTCCGACTCTTCGCGACCCCATGGACCAGATCACGCCAGACCTTCCTGTCTTCCGCCGTCCTCTGAAGATAGGACTACCAACGGCTATTAGACATGATGGCTAAATGAGAACTTCCATTATCAGAGGCAATGTACTTCTGAATGCCTGTTGTGGGGTAGGCAGCATCAGGGGGAAGCTTTAGCCTCTGGGCCCCCACAGTGGGCCTTCTGGGGCATGTGGTTGGCCACTGGGGGACTAGCATGATGGACTAGATGGACCAGTAATCTGAACCAGTAGGGTTAATTCCTTTGGGTTCAAGTAGCAAGGAGTCTCAGAGATACCTCCTAGTGTGTTTGGGGATTCTTTGATTTGATAGAAGAAGAAGAAGAGATTGGATTTATACCCCGCCCTTCACTCGGAGTCTCAGAGTGGCTTACAAACTCCTTTCCCTTCGCCTCCCCACAACAGACACCCTGTGAGGTAGGCGGGGCTGAGAGAACTCTGAGAGGACTGCCCTTTCAAGGACAGCTCTTGTCAGAACTATGGCTTGCCCAAGGTCATCCAGCAGCTGCAAGTGGAGAAGTGGGGAATCAAACCTGGTTCTCCCAGATTAGAGTCCACACACTTAACCACTACACCATACGTAGCTTTGGAGGAGTGTAGCTTTGGAGGAGAAGTGTGAGGTAGGCAAAAAAGGAGAGGGTCATTGTTCCTGTCATAAGAACATGAGACCAGTGGTCCATCTAGTTCCTCTGGATGCCCAACAACAGGGCATGGAGGCTGAGGCTTTCCCCTGATGTTGCCTCCTGGCTCTGAGATTCAGAGGTTTTACTGCCTCTGAGGGTGGAGGTTCCCCTCAGTCACCATGTCTGGTAGCCATTGATAGACTTAACCTCCGTGAATCTATCTAATATCTTTTTAAAGCTGTTTATTCCTGTGGCCATCTCTATGTCCTCTGGCAGCAAATTCCACATTTTAATCACTCTCTGAGGGGATCTTCACCATTGTCCTCCCATTTGCCTCTTATATATGTGCATCGACTCCAGATCCACTGTCTTTGGTGGACTTGGGTTGCACCACATTTCACATTTATCTCTGTTTTCCTAGAGGATTCGGGCATCAGGTGTTATTCTTCTGGAGACGATACTCTTTGGCTCACTCCTTCTCTACTTTCCTGTGAGTATCTGGGTTGGACCATAATGAGTTGTTTTCTCTTACACCAGAACTGTGTCAGAGGGTCTCAAGAAGAGAGTAAAGAAAGAGGTTGCACAATAGGGGTAAATGTTAGTTTCCAAGTGAATGAAGGGAAGAGGAAGAACCATTCCATTCACCTGCAACCATTCCTCTAGTGTTCATTCAGATAACAAAAATAAATGGGAATAACAAATGCCATTTGTTTGCCTTTGTTTATTTTCCCTTAATTGCCATGTGGTTTGCCTTTTATTGCCATGTGGTTTGCTTTTTAACTACCTGTAAAACTGGGACCCTTTCTCCTATCTGTCTAAAATTTAGCAAGAAAGATTTTTGGGGGGCGAGGGGACAAGTTTCTGAGAATTTCGTCCAAATCGGACAGAAAAGAAACATTTTTTTTTTTTTGCAAAACCATTCAAAATAGGGTTGCCAGGCAGTGGCCACAGGTAGGCGGGCTGCGGGTAACGATATAGGGGGCCCGCAGTGCTGACTGGGGCATCACATAACTTCTGGTAAAAGTCTGGAAGTGACACAGTGCCGCATCCCTGGAAACTCTATGGTTTTACCATAGAGTTTCCAGCAATTCCTAGACCTACCCTCTGTCACTTCTGTTTTTTTGCCAACCTCCAGGTTGTAGCTGGAGATCTCCTGGGATTACAACTGATTTCCAGGTGACACAGATCAGTTCCCCTGGGGAAAATGGCTGCTTTGGAAGGTGGACTCTGTATTGTTATATGCCACTGAAGTTCCTCCCCTCCCAAAATCACTCCCTCCTCAGGCTCCACCTCCCAAATCTCCAGGTATTTCCAAACCTGGAGCTGGCAGCCCTAGTGGGGCCCCAGCTGCTATCACAGGGATCTCCCACCCAAGAAAGGGGCAAGGAGATGGTTGCGCAGAGGCTGCCGCTCCAAAAATGCAGAACTGCATGACCGTGTGTGAATCATGCAACCATGGCAAAGCTGCATATCGTCAGGCTTAATTTTGCATAATTGGCTTGTGCTCATCATGAGGAGGAACAAGAGCAGTCCATGTGCATAGACCACTGAAGCCCATCCCCTGAGCACAAGACATCCTGCTTAGCTTTCTCCCCCTGATGTCGCCCAGCGTTGCCTGCATACATTCAGTTCTGGCTTTGCAGCCTCCCAGAGAGTTGCTGAGGCTAATAATAATAATAATAATAATAATAATAAAATAATAATAATAATAATAATGCCCAGCTTGTAAAATGGTCAGATTCTATGGGTTAAAATCCAACCAGCTTTTCTGCTAGCAAAAAGGGAAGGAGGGGTCTCCTTTGACTGCCAAAGAAAGGCTATGCTGGAATGACGGGACCTGCATGGACAAAAGCCATGTGGGACAGAGGCCAGATGAGGCGGAGAATTTGGAGAGGTGGAGTGAAAAAGCTGGCTGGATCTAACCCTGTGCCCAGAGCTAATTTCTGCACTGAATGGAATACACCCGGCCTTGTTCTTCTGATGCTTATCAGCCACAATAATGAGAAGCAAACCTTCCTATTCAGAGGCTTTATTAATCCAGAGTATCATGTTCTGGGGGCTAACCGCAGGGAACAGAGGATACCATTGTGCCATGCCTGCAAAGACCCCGGGGGGGATCCAGCTAAACCCAGTTCAAAGGCAGAAAGCTAGCCAGATGGCTTGACACAACCTAGTTACAAATGATTTGGGATTCTCTGGAGGAAATGACCGGGATAGATTGCTGGTGTAAATTTTGGGTCACCAAGGCTGCAAAAAAAATAGCCTTATCCAATCTTCTACTGCCTTGCTGAGACAAGGGCAACTGTGCTTTCCTGCTGTTTTCTGGTGGAAAGGGCCAGCTGCCTTTTATATATATGCATGTAGATTAGTATTATTTTGAGAAAAAGAAAAAGATAAGAAGACAAATGGTTATGGTAGGAAGGGGGAAATGGTACCTATCCTTGCAGCAATAGGCCACGGATTCCCTGGAAAGTACCTGGTAACCAGCTGCCATCACTCAGGACCCCCTGAGAACCTCTAGACTGACCCACTGGAAAGATCGTAAAACACAGCAATTACCATCTTTTCCTGGCCTCTCTTTTCCTGCAGGTGTTCATCCTCTACTTCAAGCCGAGCATCTTTCGCTGCATCGTCCTGCGCTGGGTGCGAATGCTGGGTTTTGCCATTGTGTATGGAACGATCACTCTCAAACTGTACAGGTAAGAATGTTGGGGAGGGGGCTAATATTGGGATATCTGGTTAATATAGCAGAGTTAGCCCAGACATAGAAGCGTGATATGGAGTGTGGTAAATAAATTGCAAAAAAAGGTCAACTTACATTTATCCAGGTAGATTCAGTTCACATTCAGGTTGCAGTCAAAAGAAGAGAAAGGAGACTAATCTAAAGAATCCTTTCCCCTATCACAAATGGCCAGCTTGTCCGGCATCACATGTGTGGGAGTATGAGGGCACTGTATCTACAGGAGAGACCTGCAGAGACGTGTGTCTCCATGAAAGGCCATGTAAAGTATGAGAGGACAAAGTGAGAGAGAGAGAGGAGAGGAGAGGTCAGACGGCAGCTCCTAGATTAAGACAAAGAGAGGCGTCTCATTCAAGGAGATAACACCAATACACACTTAGAGCAATGTAGTGCCCCCAGTATGCTCACTCCAACAGTTAGGGGGACAATTAAAATTACAGAAGAATGAGCCAGATCCATGGTCCATTTAGACCAGCATATTGACTCCAGCTCTGGTAATGGGACTGGAAACTCAATGGTACCATCGAGTTTCCAGCCCCATTGCTAGAGTGTCGCCCAGCTACGTCCCTACGTCATGTCTGGGCGATGGAATAATGCAGCGCCTGTGTTTTCCCCACGGGAATGGTCCCACGAAGAACTATATATCCCCCGCCGAATCAAGGTAAGTACTTGGGAGCCCTGGTTAGGGATCCCTAATTCCTCTTCTTCTCATGCAGCTGTAAGTCCCATTACTTTGGGGAGAGGGAATGACTGTGCAACCAGTATAAGAATTCCTACAAATCCAGAATAAGAATTCCTATACAAATCCAGATTCTACGGCAGCTTTTTCTCCAGTAGACTGAGCCCCAGTCATCAGAACTCATTTGACAGACTTACTGCCCAGCAAACTGAACACTGATTCCATAGTCTGTTTTGCCCTTATCCCATGCTTCAGATGGCTGTCCGTCTTTTATTTAATTATTCTTAAACATTGGAACACCATGTGTGTATATTTATTCAATAAAATATATATTCATCCCAGCCTTTCCCTTAGCAGCAGCACCCCCCCCCCCGAACTAAGGTTTAAAACACTGGGGGGAAATGTGCTTTGGAGAAGATATGGGATTAGTCACGGCACTGGTCCCAGCCACTCAGTACTGTGCACAATGCTGTGTTTTTGCCATAGACAGGAAAAATGGGTTCCCCAAACTGGAGAAGATCATATAACTGGCCAGAACACAGTGTACTTCTGCAGGAGGCTCACCTCTAAAATTATATGCATCAGGAAGCACCTGTAATGGAGATGAGCCCTCGATAATGTAAGATGCTGATAGTACTTAGTCTGTAAAAAGAAAAGGCACCAGTATTCATATATAAGGTTGCATTGATTTCCACCAGTTACCCCTCAGAACTTGGGCGCCCCTCTCTCAAAGGTTCTGGTGCTCTGTATCGGTGAGAACTGCCACAAAACAAGCCCTGCTGATAAACACCTTTCTTCTTTATCTCCAACGTCTGGTACTCAAAAGCATCCTGCTTCTGAACTTGGAGGACCTCTTGCATAACACAGATAATACCAACTGATGGACCTTTCCTCCTTGAGTCTCTTTTAAAAAGCCATCACAACACGGTGTGGTCTTCCAGAAATTAATTATGTATTGCATGAATACTTCTTTTTCAGTGCCTTCTGCATATATATAGTCCACCTTGGGAGTGGTGCATGGCCAGAAGGGGGCTACTGCTCACCTGCAGGGCACTGTGCATTCAGAGGGACCCTGCTAAATTGGGAAAGGCCATGGCTCAGTGGCAGAATTTCAGCCTTACATGCAGAAAGTCTCAGGTTCAATCTCCGGCATCTCCAGTTAAAAGGCACAGGATGTGAAAGACATCCAATGGAGACCCCAGTGAGCTGCTGCCAGCCTGAGCAGACAATACTGGCTTCAAAAGACCAATGGCCTGATTCTGTAAATGGCAGCTTCATCCATTCATAGTGTTAAATAGTGGGTTCTATGGATGAGCAGACCACAAATGTAGTGATCTATTTTATTAGTGATTTCAGCAACCACAAGGCTAGACTCCAGAGCCTTAGCTCTGTTAAATAGCATGCAATTGGCACATCCAAACACACCCCACTCCCAGTTATAGGCTATTTACATAACATTACTACTAGATTGGTTACTTTCAGAATCCTGGCAGGCTATTGTTCTTTTGCTTCAAGCTCAGCCATTCTCTGGGGTGATTCAATCAGGAATGATTCAATCCCAGTACATAACACATAGTTTATAGAGTTGGGGCTATGGCTCAGTGTTAGAGCATCTACTGTGCTTGTAGAAAGGCTCAGGTTCAGTCTCAAGATAAAAGTTCCTGGTGATGTCAAAGACCAGAAATCATGGAGAGCTGCTGTCAGTAGGCCATGCTGGCCTTTGTAGACCAATGATTTGAATCACTATAAGGCAGCTTCTTTTAAAGAGGGGCTGTGGGTCAGTGGTAGAACATCTGGTTTGCATGCAAAAGGTTCTTGGTTCAATCCCTGCTATCTCCAGCTTTTGAAAAAGGATTGGGTAGTAGATATGAAAGACCTGAGTAGACAGTACTGACCTTGAGGGACCAATGATATCAGAAGGCGGCTTCATGTGTTCCTTTTTCCATTAACCTCCGGCCACCTCTCTTTTCCTGTCCTGCAGGGTCTTAAAGGTCTTTCTCTCCCGCACGGCCCAGAGAGTCCCTTACATGACCAGCGAGCGGGTTCATGTGTTCCTTTTTCCATTAACCTCCGGCCACCTCTCTTTTCCTGTCCTGCAGGGTCTTAAAGGTCTTTCTCTCCCGCACGGCCCAGAGAGTCCCTTACATGACCAGCGGGCGGGTTCTGAAGATGCTGGCTTTGATCCTGCTCTTGGTGCTTTGGTTCTTAGCAGCCTGGACTGTGGGGATGTTGGAGAACATAGAGAAGAACATCCCGCTGGTGGTCCGATCCCAGACCACGAATGGCCTCCAGTTCTATATCTGCGATCATGACCGCTGGGACTACATGATGGTTGTTGGTGAGGACCGGTTCCCTAAAATGATGCTTTTCACATTTGTGGCAAGGCATCACCACCCTAAGGGCAACGCAGTATAAGTCCATACGTTCAGCTGTGAGTTTCATCAAGAGACAAGTCAGAGGGAGTTCTGTAAATCAGCCTGTTTTCAGATTGCACCTGCTGATGGAAGCAATCTGTGGTAAATTTGAATAGGGATCGTTAGTGACTTCCCCAGGCTTTGTTCCAGAAAACTCTGGAGCTGACATTAACAAGAACACATTTCTTTGATGCAGTCTGAGAGCACCTCTAGGCAGGCCCATAGCTACAGTGGGGCATCTCGGGCCTAGGCCCCCTCATTCACTGGCAAGGCCCCATCTAGCCCAGGGCCCCCCAAGTGGCAGCAGGTGCGGGGAAGGAGCCAGGTATTCCTTTAATTTGATTAGCCAGTGCCCCCTAAGAAATTTAAATGTCCCCCGACTTTAGAAATCCTGGCTACGGGCCTGCCTCTAGGCATCTACAAAGTGTTCTCAAAACACCGAGTCCTCAAAGACCAGGGGCCCCCAACCTTTTGGAGTCTCTGGACACCCTTGGAATTCTGAGACAGGGTGGTGGGCGCAGCCACAAAATGGCTGCCACAAGAGGTAGAGCCACATACACGAAGGAAGCCCAAGGACGAGGGGACAAGGGGAGTAATTAAAACAACAACACTGAGAAAGAGTGGTGGATTCCTTTAGCAGAGTGATTTTGCACAGCGGAAAATAAAGCGGACACAGACACATGCGTGTCTAGCTTATTAAAAAAAGAGAACGTTTACTATATAAAATTAGGGAAGGGTTACATGGAAGAAAAATAACAACATTCCAACTAACTAGTCTCCATCCTGCTTGTTTGTTTGCTCAGACTCGTGTGTGAGAGTCCCAAGTGTTCTGAGGCACAGAACAAAGGAAAGTTTCCCCCCAAAGCTCCACCCACGGTGGACGTGCAAAACAGCATGTACCATCTCCCAATATATTGATTAGCCAATAGTCAGTCTACAGCTCATCTCATTAGGAATAATATGTCCCGCTTCTTGGCAGGAAGATTCTACATGACATTTCATTGGTCCTGTGCTAACAAACTAACGTTAACACACACAAACAACAGCTTAACTCTTTCATGACTGAAAGAGTGACACTTGCAAAAATCCCAACAAAGAGGAGAGAGAGAATAAAACCAACACTTTGGTGGCAGCTGACACCAAAGCAATGTTATTTATACATAACCAATCAGGTCTCCAGTGGCTGATCAGAAGTCCTGCTGGGAAGGACCCCACCTGGCCCCACTCAGGCCAGTAGCCAGGATTTTGTGGCTTCTGGGGCAAAACTTTTTCTGGTGGGGCTGCCATTATTTGCCATAATGAAGGGGTGGCAGCGCACAACCCTCTACCTCCGCTCCTGCAAGATTTAAAGGGCCCTTCAGCTGATCAACAGGCAGCATGTGGCCTACCAGTCAGCTGGAGGGCACTTTAAATCTTGCAGGAGCGGAGGTAGAGGGTTGTGTGCTGCCACCCCTCTGCTTCTTCTCAAAAGCATTTAAAGGATCCCTTTAAATGCTTTTGGGGAGAAGCAGGGGGAGGCCTTTAAGGAAGGGGTTGGCCCTTTAAGGAAGGGGGCAGAGCCCCCAACAGCCCCACCGTAGCTACGGGCCAGGCCCCACTCACCTGGTGTAGTGGTTAAGTGCTAGGGTTGCCAAATCCCCCCGGGGGGCAGAAATCCTTCCGCCCCAGAGGCCCGTTCCCTGACGCTGGGGAATCGGGCCCCGGGGGGAACCCCGCCCCAGCGTGCATGTCACAGGGAAGTGACGTTATGACGCCGGGCACGCTATGGTTTTCCCTTGTATGGTCATGGCCCCGCCCCCAGCATGCCTGACGTCATGACGTCACTTCCCTGTGACGTGCAGGTGGCGCGCACCGGGAGCCGCGCAGGAGTCCCCCGCCGGCAAGGTAGGTAACATTTGGCAACCCTATTAAGTGCGTGGACTCTAATCTGGGAGAACCGGGTTTGACTCCCCACTCCTCCACTTGCACCTGTATGGATGAGCTTGGGCAAGCCACAGTTCTGATAAGAGCTGTTCTTGAAAAAGTGCAGTTTCTGTCAGAGCTCTCCTTTGGGTAGTGAAGGGTGGGTATAAATCCAATCTCTTCTTCTCTTCTTCTAAAAACAACTGATGGGTGCCAGGAGAGGTATCAGTGGGCAGCATGGTGCTTACGGGTGCCATTCCAGGGACCCCTGCAGCCTAGTCAGCCTCCACCAACCAGATGTTAGAGACGAGCCAGACTTTATGGGGAAGGCGAACGGCTTCCAGCCACCTTTGCTTTCAGCCCCTCTCTTTCTTGGAAATTGGGAAGGATAGAAGAGGCGGGGGGGGGGGGGGGGGGGGGAGGACGGTTGGAACCTTGCCCCAATTTTTTATTTCCCCTTCCCCCTTTTCTCCACTACCCTCCAGCGGAGATGCTGTTCTTGTTCTGGGGAAGCTTCCTCTGCTATGCCACACGGACCGTCCCTTCTGCTTTCCACGAGCCACGCTACATGGGGATCGCTCTCCACAACGAGCTGATTATTTCTGCCACGTTCCACGTAGTCAGGTGAGAACGGATAAGTGACCTTTGAGTCGGGGACCTCAAGTTTTGCTGCTTTGTTGGCCTGGGGGAGGAGGGTAAGAGAGTGAGCTCTGAGCTAGGGAATATTTTCTCCCCCTTCCCCCCCCCCCCCAGATCTACAGTTGAAAGGTTCATTATGAGATTCACTCTCAGATTACTTCCTTCTCCCCCCCCTCTCATTGTTATCTTCCCCCTTAAGCGGAATCTCTACCGATTTGAAGAAGTGAGCTGTGGCTCATGAAAGCTCATGTTTAAATACACGTTGTTGGTCTTTAGGGTGCCAATGGGCTTTTGTTTGACTTCTTAGGCAAGCCACTGTTCTCTCGGCCTCTGTATGTTTCACCAACAGCAAGAATTATTTCCACGGTGGTGAAATTCCCCGCACAGATGTTTTTAAAACTGTGGGTTATGTGAAATTTCACATAACCCGCAGTTTTAAAAATGTCAATGTGGGGAATTTCACTACTGCGGAAATGGTTAGGGGGTTAATAATATTAGCCTATTTCACAGGCAATGCTCCCTCTAAGCTGTGGAGTCTTGTGAGCAAAAAATCTACTTTGTGAGCTCCTGGCATGAAAGTTGTGAGCGAGCGATTTGGCGACTGCATAAATGAGTTTGCTCCGGAGCCATCCTTCCTGAGCTGAGACAAGAATGTGTGAGCCGGAGGCTAAAAAACTGAGAGCTAGCTCACACGACTCAGAGGGAACACTGTTCACAGGGCCGGAGCATGGATGGTGTGGGTTAGGCACTTAGGAAAACTGCTAGATATGAATTCAGATAATGTGAACAGTATTAAGAGTGCCGCTAACTCTGGTAGCAGAAACTACCAAAAATCCAGCTGTTTATTGAAAATATTTATATCCCAGTCAGTGAGACTTGTAAGCAGTTTACATCAATTAAAACCTAGTGAAATCTCAGTTCACAGAAATACAAGTTTTAAAAAAGCAGGTCAGTAACCTCCACTCATGATGAGTAAAGCATGTCAGGAAAATTCCACTGAAAATCTTTGCAAGATTTAGAGCTGTTCTTGGGGAGCTGGTTTCCTAACATAGGAGCAACCACTTGACCAAGCTCGAGGATAAACAATTCTCACCAAGCCGACTGGACGAACTACTCATAATCTCTGATCTGATGACCGGAGCTGCCTTGTGGGCACATATGGGATCCAGGTGGCCCCACAGATATGAGAGTCTCAGGCAGATCAAGATGGGTAGCCGTGTTAAGTCTGTCTGTGGCTGCAGAAAAGAGCAAGAGTCCAGTAGCACCTTAAAGACTAACAGAATTTGTGGCAGGGGAGGAGCTTTCGTGAGCCACTGCTCACTTCTTCTACAGCACTTTAAAAGGGTAACACTGACACCTTGAATTTGACACAGCAACAGATTGGCAGCCTATGGGACAACTTGGGTTGACATGTACAGAACACTTAGCCAGTCAATAGTGTAGCTGCTGCATTCGGTACCAATTGTAGCTTCAGTTGCCTTCAAGGACAGCCCCATGTAGAATGCCTTACAGTAGTCTAGCCTCGAGGTTAATGTAGCATGGATTAGCGCAGCTAGGTAGGGCGAGTCTCAAAAGGAGGACAATATCCATGACAGATGAAGCTGAAAAGTGTTTAAAATGGGTTGTTTAAAAGTGAACTTGCTAGCATCCTAACAGGGACTGTATTGCTTGCTAACTCCTCCTGCCCTCCTTCACAATCCAATGCCTATATTTCTGGCTGTAGGTTTTTAATGGTTCCCTCCCTGCATCCAGACTGGACACTGTTGCTGTTTTTCATTCACACACATATCACGACCACGTTGACGTTGGCACTCCTTTTCATCCCAAAGGTACGAACTTGCAGAATCTGTAAAAAAATATAAGAGCTTGGTCTGTTTCTCTTCCAGCCCTCATATATGTGTGTGTGTGTGTGTGTGTGTATCTATATTATTTTATTTGTTCAACTTATATCCCGCCCTTCCTGCAAGCGGGCTTGAGGCAGGTAACAACAACAGAACACACCCCAAAATTAAAACAACTTACATAAGCAAGAACAGTTAAGCGGGACCTTCTACAGTTTCGCAGGGCCTGCAAGACGGAGCTCTTCCGCCGGGCTTTTGGAGCCGCCACCACTGCTACCATCACCACCATCACCACCAATAACAACTGATAGTTATGGCGGAAGCCCTGAGCAGTAGGTCCCCGAGACTATTGCCCGGTCCATCCCTCTCTTCCCCAGAATGGAAGCGGACCAACAGAACTACTGAACATTGGAATTTCTAGCACTTTAATAATGTCGTTTTTTACATTGTTTATATTACTGTATGACTCATTTAAATTGGTATCAACTGTGATGAATGCGTTTTATGTATTATGAAGTTTTATGTTGTTGGAAGCCGCCCTGAGCCAGACTAGGCCGGAAAAGGCGGGATAAAAATTAATATAAAAATCAAAATTTGATAAAAAATCAAATTTGATAAAAATCAAAAATAAATAAATAAAACAAGAAAATATCAGTCTAATTGGCAGCAATTCATGAATCTCGCGACGTTTCACAATGTGCATTAAAAATCATGACATTTCAGGTTTTCTATTCTGCCTCTGTGAAAGTATGATTCTATACAAAGACCTAAATCTGAACTCTCCTGCAAACTAAGGATAAGTTCTTTTGGCATTACTTAGGTGTGGTTCCAGGTTCTACATCTCTGTGTCAGAATGCCTCTAAAATGTTGTGCAAAAAACTCTCAATATTAAATGGCTTTTGAGATCAAACTAATTCCCCTGCCTCCCATGTTTTATTGTTAATTTTGCTTCGCTATTCATTTTAAGGCATGATTCTTATATTTGGTATGCATGGCAGACAAATTCAGAGATGAGAGGCCTTCTCATAATCACAACAGGTAAATGGAACCTTCATTTACAGGGGCAGTATACCTCTGATTTCTAGAGGCTGGGGAGAAATAACGGGCAATAGAAATCGCCTTGCCACACATGATGCACAAATCTGTGCCCCGTGTGCCCCCCGGGGCCAAATAACGCATGGTTGGAGTCCAGGGAGAGGATGAATATCTGTTTATTGCAATAATCAGGAAAATACAGGACTGGATACCTTGGCACCCAGTAACACCAAGCTGCATTCTGCCCCAACCAGGAAGGGCAATAGGTATTATACCCCAAATGACATCGTTATAGAATCATAGAATCACAGAGTTGGAAGGGGCCATACAGACCATCTAGTCCAACCCCCTGCCCAATGCAGGACCAGCCTAAAGCACCTCTGACAAATATTCGTCAAGCCTCTTCTTGAAAGCGGTCAGTGAAGGGGAGCTAACCACCTTCCTAGGCAGCTGATTCCACCTTTGAACCACTCTGACCGTGAAAAAGTTTTTCCTAATATCCAGCCGATACCTTTCTGCATGTAATTTAAACCCATTGCTTCGGATTCTATCCTCTGCTGCCAACTGGAACTGCTCCTTGCCCTCCTCCAAATGATAGCCTTTCAAATATTTAACGAGAGCAATCATGTCCTCCCTCAATCTCCTCTTCTCTAAACTAAAAATTCCCAAGGCCCTTAGCAAAAAGTCATTAAGCCTGTCTGCTTTTTCTCTGTCCTCCACCAGAAATCTTTAATTGGTGTCCAACAGGTCTCGTCATCAGAACACCATTTTAGCTGGCATTTCTCTATTGGCAAACCCCTATCTGGATCTTAAGTGTCAATAATTGTGTCATCTTATCTGGTCCCAGAACAGTGGAAAACATCAATGAACAGAGGGGCTACCTTCTGGCATCATTCCTGGCTTATTTGCTTCAGCCTGGAACTAGGGAGTTTTCCGATAAAACACATGAAACTTAGCTCTTGGCAGACCTAGTGGGGCCAGATGCTCTATTCTACACAAAAAGTTATTTGTTTTGAAAACACTTAAGAATCTTTCCATCTCATAACTTCTCTCAACTGTCCTTCAGCTGAGGAACTTGTAATTTCAAAACATACATTCCATTCCATTATTTTCTGAATCTATCTAATAGAACCTTTGACAATTAAAAATACTCTAATTACTTCTATTCTAAGTCTCTTCTGCTTGTGCAGCTGCCGAGCCATGGCTTTTGACCTCCTACTTCCCAGCGGTACTAATTCTTCACAGGATTGTGACTGCAGTATTTGGGCTGCAGCACTGGCAGCCATTGTTAGGAGCAGGGCAAAGTGCTATTGGAATCGCAGAGGGTAAGGATAGGAGTGGAGGAGGCAGGAGTTTGGAAGCCAACCAGAGATGCTCAGAAGGTCTAATAACAAGTGAAAGTTGCCCACTGGAGAACAGTATCCTTTAGCGTAGTCATTCCCCTGCTGGGGCCAGGGGATCCCCCAATTTTGGGAGGCCCAATCCGTTGCGGCCCCGCTGACTGGCCGGGGAAGCCCCACCCCCAAGAAGCCCCCTGCCAGCACAATGACATCCCCCAGGAGTGACATCATCACATTTCCGATGGCAGGGGTGACACTCTAGGTTTTGAGCAATACTCTATGGTTTTGAGGCCAAAAAACTCATAGAGTTTCACCCAAAACCTAGAGTGTTGCTTCCAACATTGAAAATGCGATGATGTCACTTCCAGGTGACTTCATTGTGGCGGTGTGCACACTCCAGGCGTGTGCCAAAATAACTGCAGGAAGGGAGTCCCCCTGCTGGCAACCCTACTATCGTTCCAAAACCAGTGGGTTCCAGCACACACCTTGGTCACTTCCTGTGAGACTAAAGCTAGCAATGAAACGGGCATTGATATCTGGACTCTGATCCCTTTTCTCTGAGCCACATTTTACGGACGGCCTACCTAACCACTATTTATGTAACACAGGGATCCCCAACCTATTTGAGCCTGTGGTCACCTTTGGAATTCTGATGCAAGGTGGTGGGTGCAACCGCAAAATGGCTGCTGTGGGAGGCCAGGCACAAAATGGCCACCATGGGCAGTGGAACCAACCGCACACAGAAAGGAAGTCCAAGTGGAGCGGGCAAGCGGAGTCATTTTTGAAAATGCTCTGGGAAATAGGAGCGAGACGGAGAATAAAAACAACACTGTAGTAGCACTTGCTTTAGAAACAACATTATTTTAATCTGCACAGCCAATTAGATCTCCAATGGCCACCCAGAAGCCCTGCTGAGCAGGAGCCCCGCCCACTTCCTAAAAACATTTGGAGGGAACCAGGAACGGTATTGGTGAGTGCCATGGTGCCCCTGTTGAAGACCCCTGGTATCACACATGATTAGGGTACAAATAATTAATAATATCATATTGCATCGTGTGAGGTATAGCCAGGAGATCCTAAGATTATCTGGCAGCTCTTTTAGTGCTGAGCTAGACTTATTTTTTGGGTTGAGAGAGCTCTGGAAGAGCTGCGACTGGCCCAAGGTCTCCCAGCAGGCTTCATATGGAGGAGTGCGGAATCAAACCCAGTTCTCCAGATTAGAGTCCGCCACTCTTAACCACTACACCACGCTGGCTCTCTGTGATTAGGGTGCAGAAGGTCCCAGGCAGCTCCAGTTAAAGGATCTCAGGTAGCAGACGACAGAGAAGACCTTTCGGTGCCTGAGGTTCTGGAGAGTTGCTGGCCAGCAGTGAAGAGGGGCTGCAGCTCAGTGACGGAGCATCTGCTTCACTGGCAGTAGACCTTAGGCTCAATTCCTGGCACCTGCCGTTAAAAGGACCAGGAGAAGCCCTCCACCTGAGAACCTGGAGAGTGTTTTCGCCAGGAACTGAAAGGCTACGCTACTAGAAAATAAAATAAAATGCAAATATTTATTACACTGTGCACAGAATTTTAGGATTAAAAACGACATACATTGGAGACCATTAAAAACTCAGATCAGAATCTACAGCAACGAGGTGAAGTTGCACCTTCAATAACAAAGAATCACAATGATGGTTACATGTATATTAACGAAAGGACCCAACGCATTTTGGCCCAAAGGGCCTCCATCAGTAGTCAAAATTGCACTAACCCACACGAAAACTGTAACAATATCCACATAAAATTTCTTTACAGGCCCATCAGGTTGTGAATGAGTAACTAACAAAGTAGAACAAATTTATAAAACTTTGTTGGTCTTAAAGGTGCCACTGGACTCTAAATTTGTTCTACTGCTTCAGACTAACATGGCCAACTAGCTGGGTCACTAAAATAGTGATGCCCCTAGCAATAGTCTTAAATCAATCCTATATATACTGAGGAGCCCTGACTCATCAAAGATAGTCACTAGGAACCACCATTAGACCTGTCCTGGGCTGTAATTCAGCTCCCAGTGTGTGTTCATGTGTAAACCAGACAGGATAAAACGGTTTCATATGTACATCAGCTTAGATTGGGTGCCGTGGCTCAGTGATGGAGCAACTGCTTGGCACATAGAAGGTCTGGGTTCAATCCCTGGCATCTCCATTTGAAAGAACCAGGCAGTAGATGATGCGAAGGACCTCCAGCCTGACACTCCGGGGAGCCCTGCCAGTCTGAGTAGACAGTGCTGGCCTTGACAGACCAAGGCTTTGTCACAGACGGGGATAGGGTTGCCAAGTGACTTACTGTTAAAAGCAGGGGAGAGTTGGTCCCTAGCTGGGACATTTGCGTGCGCGCCGCAATGATATCACCCGGAAGTGACGTTATCATGTTGGGCACATTGCCGGCTGACACTCTATCAATTAGCCTGGAAACACATAGAGTTACCAGGCTGATTGCTAGAGCGTCAGCCGGCAACATGCCCAACGTGATGACATCACCTTCGGGTGACATCATTGCGCCTCCCAGGCAGGCTCCAAATTGAATTTATGTAATTAACTATGATTTAATTAGCTGTGTCCCCCCCCAGGCCCCCTCCCCAAAAAATCCCTAGCTGTGGGGCTGTCTCAGACCCTTTTCAAACTACCTTTGTATTCCATTTTAGTAACTGGCTGCTAATGGATTTTCTCCTGTCATTTCAGACAGACTTGTTTTAGTAACCAGCTGCTAGTGGAATTTATTTACCTGTTCATACAAACCCACTTGTCTTGGGTTTGCAAAGCGTGGTTGAGCCACTTTTGAGGCTTTTTTGCTTTCTTCCATTTTCTACCCCTTCGTTGCGCTTCTGAATTGCTGTGATGTGCTGTTTAAAGTGTCAATAGCACTTCCTACAATGCCGCTTCTCCTCCACACCATTTTTCGCCACACAATCTTCCTCTGACTTTTTACAAAAACCTTCTAAGGTGAGTGCAGTAGCGCTAAACCACGATATCACTTTAGTGTTATAGCAGCACCATTGAGATGCATCTCAGTGGTGCCGTTATAGCACTGAAGTGCTATAGCAGTTTAGCGTTATAGCACTCACCTTAGAATGTTTTTTTAAAAGTCTAAGGAAGATCATGTGGGAGGGGGAAGAGGAGACTGGGTTTATACCCCGCCCTTCACTTGGAGTCTCAGAGTGGCTTACAATCTCCTTTCCTTCCTCTCCCCACAATGGACACCCTGTGAGGTAGGTGGGGCTGAGAGAGCTCTGAGAGAACTGCTCTGAGAGAACTGGGACTGGCCCAAGGTCACCCAGCTGGCTGAACATGGAGGAGTGGGTAATCAAACCCGGTTCTCCAGATTAGTCCCCCGCTCTTAACCACTACACAAAACTGGCTCAAAATGACCAAAGCACTTCAGAGATGGCTCATTAATGGAAGGAAATTTACTGTATGAAACCCCTATCCCTGTAGCGCTTTACTTGAAATTGGGCCAGTGACGAATAACATCTGGTTTAGAATGGTAATGTGAAGGGCCTCGGTAGAAGGCAGCTTCATGTCTTTAATATTTTGCTGAGTGGACCAGTGGTCTGATTCGGCATAAAACTGCTTAATTTGCTGATTCTAGGCTGATAATTTTATCTCTCTCTCCAGACTCACTTGTAGACTCTCTGCTCAATTAATTCAATGGCTGGTAAAGTACCAAATGCTTACATATGAGCAGTAAACACAATCCCAGAATGCAATGTGGCCATCTGGTGGATAAAGTTGTGAGAAGAGCCACGAGTTCAAGGATTTTATACATGTCTGCATGTGTGCAGGTGTGTGTGTGGGGATCCAACCTGAAGTAGGTTTTTAAAATAATTGGGAAAATGTCACATTGCTGGGGATCGACATGAAAACTCATATCCCAGGATTTTGAATAGCTTTCTCCTCTGCAGCCCAAAATCTCAACCCTAACCAGTATTCCCTCTAAGCTGAGTTAGTGTGAGCTAGCTCACAAATTTTCAGCCTCATTTGTTATTATTTGCTTGAATGTAGTGGGGGGGGGTCATATGTTTTTATCCTGCTCTGTTGCTATGGGTTGCTGCTGCTGCTGTTATTGCTGCTGCTACTGCTGCTGCTGTTGTTTTCAGCCTCCGGCTCACACGTTTTTTGTCTTAGCTCAGGAAGGATGGCTCCAGAGCAAGCTAATTTATGCAGTAGCCATATTGCTCGCTCACAACTTTAATGCCAGTAGCTCACAAAGTAGAATTTTTGCTCACAAGACCCCACAGCTTGGAGGGAACATTGAAAAGAGAAGAAGAGGAGATTGGATTTATATCCCGCCTTTCACCACCCAAAGGAGTCTCAGAGCGGCTTACAATCTTCTTCCCTTTCTTTCCCCACAACAGACACCCTGTGAGGTAGGTGGGGCTGAGAGAGCTCTTTCAAGGACTGCCCTTGAGAGAACAGCTCTGAAAGAACTTGTAATTGACCCAAGGTCACACCAGCAGATGCATGTGGAGGAGTGGAGATTCAAACCCAGTTCTCCCAGATTAAAGTCCGTGCTCCTATATTTTATATTGTTATTTATTGTTTTATTAATATAATTAATATTTATATAACATATTATATAATTAATAATTGTAATTACTTTAATAATAAATTTAAAGAATTTAATTTTATTTTAAATATCTATATATAGAGTTTAATTTCTGTTGTTATTGTTTTTCCTTCTTAACAAAGTTTGTTGATAACAAAATGGTCACTTTTATTTCCTATATTTTCCCTTCCAAGCCTTTACACTCAAGAGCATTAAAGCCCTCTTCATACAGGCCAGTTTTGTATAGTAACTAAGCAATTTACTAATAACATAGCAAAATTATTATTTAATTATACTTGATAAAATCACAACACAAATTGTTGCATGCGAATATGACATGTTTTAATCCTAAAATAACGATATAAAATATAGGTAACACCTGTTCATTCTCATAAATGGAGATGAATGGTTATCCACAATTATAAATATCTATGGTGCTTTACATGGTATTTTTCCATGTGGGCTTCTTTCCATGTGGGCCTTTTTTATGTATGGACTTTTTTCTGTGTGGGTTTATTTCCTTGTGGGCAGCTTTCCGTGTCAGCATTTTTCCATGTGGGCTTTTTTCCTGTGAGCATTTATGACCGTGGGGCTTTTCTGTGAGCTTTTTTCCTGTGGGCTTTTTCCCGGTCGCCGTTTTCTCCAGGGGAACTGATCTCATTTGCCCGGAGATGAGTTGTAATTCCAGCTCTCCAGCCACAACCTGGAAATTGGCAACCCTTATTGCTCACTTTACCACACCTCCATGTGCCTGGAAATTAAGTTCCAGCATACAACTTCTAGCACACATTTGCCTTGACAGGACCCGAGATGGACCTGCAAACATTACAGTGTTTTTGTTGGTTTTTTGCCAACAAATCGAAGCCGACTTATGGCGACCCCGTCATGTTTCCAAGGGAAGATAAGTTCAAAGGTGGCTTGCTGTTGCCTGCCTCTGCATAGCAACTCTGGTATTCTTTGGTGGTCTCCAATCCAATGTTCCTTCTAATTTTTTCCACCCTACTGAGCAGAGCAGTTCACATCCTGAGCAGGATAGAACTGCTGTAATCTTAAAATGGGCAGTGCAGGACCCTGTGTGGCTCCAGATTGCTGCTGAGTGGGGCTTCCTGTGTTAATAAGTAGCTGCTCATATGCACAGCTTAGAGGGAACACTGCTCCCATCTAAATACTGACCAGAGCTGACCCTGCTTAACTTCTAAGATCTGACGAGATCAGGCTAGCCTGGGTTATCTGGGTTAGGGCTGCACAGTGTATAGGTAGGCCCAAAGGACCACAGACAGATCCTTAATCCTTTTTATAGCTATCAATACCCATAGCTGTGACAACCTCCCGTGTGCATGTGCTTGAATGCCATAAATTAATCATGTAGTGCTGGAAGAGTTTTTAGCATCTTGACGTGAACCTACCTTTGATTTATTTACTGGGTACATCCTACTGCCAACATCTAGAATGAGCAAGACACTAGCATTCTTTACATGTTGTAGTGAACATGTGTACATCTTGCATGTAGGTGCTTTTATCTGTTTGTAAGAAAGAGGCAACAGACGTTCAGTTAGCAAATGAAATCAGGGAACAGTTTCTGGATTAACGTGTGGTTTCAGTCACACGTTTGGGTATACATGTGTTGAACACAATATGAGAATTACTCAATGCACATATAAAGAAAAATCAAATGTACCCTGTCTATGGATTGTATGTATGTTCACTGTAACTTGTGAACAGGCCTTTTGGAAGAATATTTTCTGTGTTCACTTTTTGCACCTTTTAATCCTTCAAGATTATTATTATTATTATTACATGGGATTTTTACCCTGCCCACCCCCGAAGGGCTCTGGGCGGCTTACAGAGTATCGTGTGTGTACACACTTTCTGGAATCCTAACTATGGCCACAAATTCAGGGGGATGGGAACCCTACCAGATACCCTCCGAAGGCTTTTTTCCGCAGATGTTCTTGCTTCTCCTTCCGTCTTTTTTTCCGGGCGGTCACATGCCTCTTCGCGCAGTTCTTACTTAGAGGGGGGGACTTCAGTTAGCATATTGCAAGATGCTCTATTAACTGCAGGGAAGCTGATTTAGGTTTGTAAGTTGCATGCCAAAAATGGATGATCAGAGTTTTGCTATAGTTTGGAATATTTGTACATGGAAAAACCGACCCTTTAAATATCAGTGAGCTTAAGGGAGCATAGGCCAAAAGCTGCAATTGGAGCCGGATTCCAGTTTATTACGCTTGCTAGATCACAGAATCCAATTTTTTTTTTTTTAGGTCAAAAGACTTTTTTTATTTTCAATTATTATCACATTTTACATCTTTTTATCAATTAGTTGAATATTCCCTTTTCCCTCCCTCCCCCAAAAGGCTTCCCGCAATGCACTTCCCTCATGTCCCACATAGATAAACTCAGGATAACATCAAGTACTTAATATTGTTCTAAACATAGTAAATTTTGTCTCACGTCCCAGTTCTTTTCTAAATATATCTTAAAGTCCTTCCATTCTTCAAAAAATTCTTGGTCCTCTTTATTGTTCAATTTTTTGGTTATTTTGTCCATCTCAGCCATGAACAGAACTTTTTGTATCCATTCTTCCAGATCTGGTATTTTTTCTTGCTTCCAATATTGAGCATATATCATTCTTGCCGTTGTTATCAAATACCAGAACAGTGTCTTTTTTGTTACATTCAGTTCTTCTATTTTTAAACCTAAGAGCAGAATTTCAGGCGATTTTTTAAAAGAACATTTTAGAATCTTTTGCATTTCGTTGTGGACCTTTGTCCAAAAGTCCCTAGCTTTATCACATGTCCACCACATGTGATAAAATGAGCCCTCATGTTTTTTACACTTCCAACATTTGCTAGACATATTCTGGTTCATATTCGCTATTTTCTTAGGTGTCATGTACCATCTATACATCATTTTGTAACAATTTTCTTTTACATTAGTACATACAGACAATTTCATAGAATTTTTCCACAAATATTCCCATGTTTCTATAGTTATTTCCTTATTCATATTAACTGCCCATTTTATCATTTGCTCTTTTACAGATTCATCCTCCGTAAACCATTTCAACAGTATTTTGTACATATTAGAAACCATTTTCCTCCCCCCACTTTCCCAAACAGTTTCTACTTCATTTCTATCTTCTCTAAAACCATAGTTTTTCTTATCCATTTTAAAAACATCATAAATCTGCATATATTTTAACCATTCATAGTTATATTGAATTTCATCCTGCCCTTTCATTACCCATTATGTTCCTTGCTTCATAATTAAGTCTCTATAAGGCAACCACTCCTTGCCTTGCTGTCTTGAATATGGTGTCAAAACTTCTGTTGGTACAATCCATAATGGCCTTGCATCTCGAAAATATCTTCTGTATCTTGTCCATGTCACAAATAAAGCACGCCTCACCACATGATGTCTGAAAAAACTATCCATTTTTGTCTTCTCATACCATAGGTATGCATGCCAACCAAACCTACAATCATGGCCTTCTAATGCCAGCAGTTTTTTGTTGTCCAGTCTCACCCATTGTTCCATCCATGTTAAGCAAACTGCTTCATAATACAGTCTTAGGTTTGGTAGCTGCAGCCCCCCTCTTTCTTTTGCGTCACAGAGAATTTTCATTTTAATTCTGGGCTTCTTGCCTGCCCAGACAAATTTCGAGATTTCCTGTTGCCATTTGGTTAATATATCCGTCTTGTACAGTATTGGAATAGATTGGAATAAGAACATCACTCTCGGTAACACATTCATTTTTATCACTGATATCCTACCCATAAGAGATAGGTTCATGTTGTCCTATACAGAATCCAAATGTTTTAAATGTATTCATTGTCAATAATTTTATAATAATTTTAACACTGAGGCAGATTACATCTTCATTTCCCAACTGGGTTCAACCTATCTGCTTGGTAAATTATTCAGGAGTTAATATTTATCAGTTTTTAAATTTCTTTTGGAATTATTGCTTCCATATTGCTTGCATTGGGTTCAATCAGTTTTTCTTCTGGTAGACAAGGAAATCAGGGTCCTCCTCAGTGAGTACCAAAAAAGATTATGCTGGGTGTTAAAGGACCTCCCGGAAGGGAAAGGGGCAAGATTGGGTGAAAAAACCAGCTGGATCTAACCATATGGAATTAGTATTTGAGTTGGTCTGGTGTCTTCTGCCGTTTCCTTTTCACACATTCTTTGCTAAAATCACAAAATATTGGGCTTTTCTGCATTTTCCTCGCTTGAGTGTTCCTGTTGTTCCAGGGTTTTTTTCCCTATTCTACATGTGATTTGCTCGATCTAGTGGTCGATTTGATATTGGATCGCGTTATGTTTGGTATATCTCCCTGCAGATTTAAACTGCAGGTTTTTATGCCTGACATACAGCAATGTAATATTGAATTGACCACCAGAGGGAGCAAAACACACATGGAACAGGGAAAAAACCACAGCAGCAACAGGAACACACAAGTGAGGAAAATGAGAATGCGGAAAGGCCATTTAAACCTGTGTTTAAATAAGCACCACATTGCCCATCGTAGATTCTGATAAAAAATTTCAGTTTTCACCTG